CACATAATTTTATATTTTCCAATTGACAAACACATTTATCCATTTTAAACAAAAACACAAAAAAAAAAAACAGAAGAAATCGCATTTTCGTGAAAAACAAGAAATTCACACGTGAAATTCACGACAAAAGGCGTAATCATATAAACCCTTTACTCATTTATATTTAATTTTTTTTTTTTTTTTTTAAACTCGTAAAAAATGTCAGCAAAAGGAAAAACCGGTCGCAAGAAGGCTGTTAAGGGAACCTCCAACTCTGCTAAAGCAGGACTTCAATTCCCAGTTGGAAGAATTGGAAGATATTTAAAAAAAGGAAAGTATGCCAAGAGAGTAGGAGCTGGAGCACCTGTCTACCTGGCCGCCGTGCTAGAGTACTTGTGTGCAGAAATTTTAGAGTTGGCTGGAAATGCAGCAAGAGACAATAAGAAATCGAGAATTACCCCAAGACACATACAACTAGCTGTTAGAAATGACGAAGAATTGAACAAATTTTTGGCTGGTGTTACTTTCGCATCTGGAGGAGTGTTGCCAAACATCCACAATGTGTTATTACCAAAGAAATCTCAACTGAAAGCAGGAGCCACTGGCAATAACGACTATTAGAGGGTTTACCTTTTCCTTTTTTTTTTTTTTTTTTTTCGTGTAGCTCGCACCATGTGCATGTAAAAAAAAAAAGTGTGTAAATGCTTTTTTTTTTATGAGGACATGTGCGATGTGTGTACAGAATAATATACCCGTGTGGTGTAAAGAAGAATAAGAATTATCTCCAGACCACAGCTTTTATCATTTTCCTTGCTGATATATTTTTAGGGTTATGTCGTTTTCCGTGTGTGGTAGTATGCGGGGTGTATACTTCCCTATGTGGATGTCCCCTTCTTCTCTTTGTTAGGTGTGTTTTAGCTAAGAATGTGATGGGGCTTTGCATCCTTTTCGCACGTGTAAAAAGTAGGTGATATATATATTCTTATGAGTATATGCACTTGCACATATACGTGCGCATGGTTGTTTTGCTTTTCTCCTTCCTTATGCTTTTTTACATCCTGACAAGTGCGAGCTGCGCCCCCCCGCGCGGCTCACCACATACGCAGAGACGCCGTTTATGAAAAAGCCATTGGCGCCTGCCTTTATACTTATGCGCTTCTGTGCCTAATATAATGCGCATGGTGCCGGTGGACACATAAAAAAAACAAAAAAAATGTTAAAAAAATATGCATATATATATATAAATAAATGAGTACATCGTTTATATGTGGCTACACAAATGAGACCTCCTCAACGTGTTTGTGTAGTGCCTATATGCACATGTATACATATATGTGAACAAAAAAAAAGACTGTTCACTTTTTTTTTTTTTTTTTTTTTTTTTTTTTTTTTTTTTTTTCCCTTATCCATTCGCTTTATTAACTCACATTTGTGTGTGGCACGTCGTGCTCCATCTGCGTCTCTCCCTGTGGTTTGTTCGCCTTCTTTTGTGTGGCTGCCCCTTTTGCAAATCAAAAGGAGTATTGTGTGCTACGTTGGAAGAAGCGACATGAGCTATGTGGTGGGGGCTGGATAACGTTGCACCTGTCACCATGGCCATTACGTACCATTACATAACATCACACTACATTATTATTATTTTTTTTTTTTTTTTCCCAAACTGTAAACTATACATTTACAAGGTTTCACTAGAAGCCATTAAACACGAAAGCGATTTCGCTCAGCGATGAGCAGCCTTGTTGGGTTCACCCATTTTGCTTCTTCTTCTGTTTGCGGTTCACCCATTATTGGTGCAGATGGCGAAATGGACCCACAGGCCAGAATTGCAATTATTGCGTTGGTGTTATATTGTTGTCTAGCGCTTGTTGAGATTGAGACTGGGAGATTTGGTGAAACCTGGTCCACGTCGCTCCACTTGACATGCGATGGATGGGAGGCCGTGTGGACAGGAGTACACCTAGCATGTGTTGACGTTGCCATTTCGTATCATGCACTCATCGCAATTCTTACAAGGGTTGTCTCATTCTTTTTAGTCAACGCGGAGGTTGTGTAACTTCTTTACGAGGAACAGATAATGGGCCAGGTGCACGCTTTTAATAGGTGCGCGGGCATATGTTTGTGAAGCCTGGTTGTCGTTTCTCTGACCACGTGACGAGCAAAGCTCATGCGGTTGGTCTGGAAGGTGACTCGTTCCGTGAGATGGGTGTTTGAACATTACAGCTGGGACTGGACCACCATGCAGCAGATGTCATACCACAACAGTTTAATGCACAGCTATATGAGGAACAACCCACCCTTGTGGAGAATTCTATGTCATTTTCACATTCCCCTAGACCTACTTCTTTCCTTCCTAGCCATTGCACAGGTAGTACAAGCCACCTCAGTTGACACGTATATGTATTCCCCCATACACGCCATTCCTCGCGCTGTTTTTTTTTTTTTTTTTTTTTTTTTTTTTTTGCAGCAAAGGGATTAGCTTCGAACAAGCTGTATGAACATTTGTTTCCGTTTCGCCTTTTTTTTTTACCCTTTCCCCACATGGACGGGATGTAATTATGGGACCCCCTCCTCCCGCTGCGATGCTTCATGATAATAACACTGGAAGACGCCATGAACGATAGGCGCGGCGCAGCATATTATGATTTACTCCCCCTTGGTGGTTTCACCATTAACTGCTCCACACACATGTAGCAACAGTTCACTTTTATAAAATCTTTTACGACTCCTTTTTATGAGTTGTAAAGTTGTGGTGGGTGTACTTGTCCTCTCATCACCTCCCTCACCCGTGTGTTTCACGTATGTCTCAAATGGAAAGTTCACATGGTTAAAATGGTAAAGCGGAAAACGTGGTCGTGTGTGCGGATGGGTGTTATGCCTTTACATTTGTTTTTTTTTGTTTTTTTTTTTCCTGCAATCCCCATTGGGTGAACTTTCCCATGTGCAGCATTTTGTCCTTTTACGAATGAGCAAACAATGACATTGAGGCAAGCATGGACTTCATGAAGTGCACACCGGTGAATGTAACACCCCCGTTTTGTTGCAACTAGAGAAATGTGTACAAAGCTGTTGGCAGGTTAAGCGGTTAGTTAGCAGTCCATCCAGTGTGATAGCCACGTGGACGTCTTTTTTTTTTTTTTTTTTTTTTTCCTCACAAATGGAATATAGCTATATGGACATGCCCATTAGTTCACGCATGTAAAGACGTGCAGCGCATTTTATGGTTAGCCTACTTTGTTAAACATTTACTTGGAACAGACCAAAAAAAAACAATAAAAACAGTGATACATTTTTACTCGGGGAGAGCGCAGTTGTACAGCGCTTGCACAGCCGTTGCGTAGCGGTGATGTGTTCATCATGGTAGACACCTGAACACGTGCCCGCGCTTCACACGCACACATTCGTCCCGTTACGAAAAGAACCCAATGTTCGTCGAAATCATGTCGTTTATGTTTTTCCACAGGGTGTCCCTCTTCTCTACCAGCCTCACAAACAGCTTCGTTTTATTTTCATATATAAGTTGCGTTTCGAGTGCGGCCTGCATAAGTTTGGTCCCCATGGGGAGAGAGAGGAAGTGGGTGGTGTGTATATGTGCACGTGTGCTTATTATTTTTTTTTGTGTGTGTGACTCACAATGGTGAAGGTAAAAACTCCTTGTGGAGATGCCTTTTTCCCCCACGCGGTCGTACACACACGCCGCGCGCACAAGGGGGACAGTCGACATGAAGACGCAGGCCTTACCTTGGCAAAGTACGAATTGCAAAATACAACGAGGTAGTTGTTCTCCTGCATGAAGGACGGAATTTTCTCAACCTTTATGACTGGCCCGATCCACTGCATGAAATTCTTACAGTCGTTCATGGTCGTGTTCTGTGGGAAGTTGCACACAACGATGGTGGAGTCTTCGTCGAAGTTTTTCGGCTGCGGGGGGTGGGGGGGAACAGTGCGTGATGATGCGATTGGCATGACGAGGCGATTGCCGAGTAGGGCTTCTTAGCGTCGTTATTGCTGTATGTGTTGCGCGCGTCTGCCCCTCCCTTACCGCGTACACATTGGCCAGCTTCCGCTCCGATAGGTTGGACGCGTTTTTCGACTGAGTGACCTTCCGCTTCTGCAGCTCCACGGTGCGCAGCTTGCGGTAAGAGGGGTCCATGGTTCGAGGGGTAGAGGAGGCACGCAAAGGGAGAGAAATACAAAAAAAAGGGGAGAAAGGGGGAGCCCAAATGGGAGGAAAAATTTCCCGTGTTGAACAGCCCCTTAACGCTTTATCTTATTTTATTTATTTATTTTTTTACGTCCCGATTTGCAACTTTTTTCTCTTTCTCCTTTTTCTTAAAATTTACACATTTGCGCTGATTTCTCTGTTCCTCCGAGTTGGTACGTTTTGGTGAGTAACACTTGGCGCTACTACTGTTGTGTGTGCAGTTGAGCAAATGGAAAAAAAAAAAAAAAAAAAAAAAAAAAAAAAAAACACGTGCGTGGGGTATGCTGGGGTGGGCGTTGAATGTTTGCGCTGGCATCCGACTGCTACTTGGTTTCTACTTGGTTTCTACTTGGACGCTACACGGCCGCTACTTGACCGTCACATGACCGCTAAACAGCGGCTACCCTGCAGCCGCGCGGTTGGCCCCCGCCAACAACTCTTGTGAATAAAACTACAACACTGGTGACAAAACAGATTTTTTTAAAAAACAAAAAAAAGGCACGCAGGGTTGGCGCAGCAAATGATGCGCACAGACGCAGACATGGACACATACAGACACAGACACGAGCATAGACGAAGGCGCACACACACACATACACCTACATACATACACATATATATACCTATACACATATACATATATACACATATACATATATACATATAAAGAGAGAGAGGGCGGGAAAGGGAGAAGGGGGGGGAGAGAGAGAGATACAGATCACACTAATGCACATGGGGCTGGGGAGCGCGCACGGCTGCAGGCCACTATTGTAGTCCTTTATTCGTTTCTGTTCCGCGCTCATGACTCATGACTCTTGTCTCAGGCCTTGTTGGGCTTCGGGGGTCTCTGCTGCTCGCTGGGCTTGAAGGCCGTCAATTTGTCCTCAATTTCTGTAAAGGGGGGGGGGGGGGGGAGTCACATGCAATTTATATGCCATTCATGTAGAAGTCATATATGGGGGTGACAAAAAAAGGGTCATGTAAAACAACACCGCTAACGCTGCAAATGCGGATAATGCCGCTAACTGCGCTAACGCCGCTCGCGTATGTTACCCTTAATTTTTCCCGTGAGGTCCGCCCGCCTGTTCTCCACATTTTTTACGCTCTCGTCCCGCTTGGTCTCGTAAAAGTCCTTCTTCTGTACCAACTTGGCTATGCAAGAATCGACCTCGTCAAAACTGACGGGGGGATTTATACCCGCGGTGACAAAGTAGCAGAGGATGTTCATATCCAATTTGAAAATTTTTTGCTTGTCCTTTTTGCCTTTGTTTTTTTTTGCCTCATTTTTGCCTTTCTCCTGTACCTCCTCCGCTTTCTCTTTCTGTTCGTTGTTCTCCGCACCATTCACATCTCCATTGGCCTGCTTTTCAGCGGCGTTACTTTGTTGCTTCGGCGCGGAGTTATGTTGCTGCTTCTTCGCCGCGGCGTTATTTTGCTGCTTCTTCGCTTCCTCCAATTTTGTCTCTTCTTGTATTTTCCTCAAATACACAAGCATGTTTTCAATGAGGGCTAGCTCTTCCCTGTAGGGCAGCAGGTCTATGTCTTCAAGTTCCTTCTCTAGCGACAGTTTTTCCACTTCTAGATTCTTCCTTTCCCTGTCTTCCTTCAACTTTTCCTGCTTGGCTTGAAGTAAATTCATTTTGTAACTTCTATACTGCTGCCTCTTCTCGTCCATCTCCACTGTTAAATTTCTTCTTTCTATAAAATAGCTGTTCATTTTTTTAGAATAGCTATCTCTTAAATTATTGAGTTCATTTAATTTGTTATTTTTTTCCTGGTAGCTATTTTGCAAGTCCTTCAATTTATTTCTTTCATTCTTCTTTTCATTTCTCAGTTTATTAATTTGTTCTCGAATAGAATCCATGCGACTTTTAAGTGGCACAATGGTTTCATCATCGTATTTGCTAGCTTCATTTTCCATTTTGCTATACGAAGACAGCAGTGGTTTATTTTTGTTCAATGCTTGTATTTGATTAATGAGTAACTTTTCTTCCTTAATGGAAATGGTGGAGGTCATGAGCTTATTTTCAATTTCTTTAATTTTTTTTTCTATATCTTCTTCATTGTGGAACCCTATTTGCTTCTTCATATTCTGTGCATTCACTTTCAGTTCCTTTTTATGCTTTTGCTTTTTATCCATTTCTTCTAATATTTTTCTCCTTTCATTTTCGAGCTTATCTATCTCCTGCTGTACTCCATCGATCCTTGTCACTATGTCCTTTTTCTTTTTATTGAATTCCTCCTTACCCTTGTTCGCCACTTTTATCTCCTTTTGCAAATTTTCCTGCAGGGGGGGGGGGGGGATAGAAGTGGCCGCGTCAAAAGTGTGTGTTGCCCGTTATGTGGTCATGTGCCGGTCGCCGCGTTAGCACATTCACGCCCAGCTAATTACACATATACATACACATATATATATATATATATATATATACTGAGAACGGCCCGCGGAGGCACTTACAATTTTCTTCTTCACTTGATCAATCGACTCCGAAATGCTACTCAGCTTCTCATTATACGCGTCGAAGTCTGGCTTCTCCACCTTTATCTTTTCAGCCTCCGTCATATTGTGGCGTTTAAAAATGAAAAAAAAAAAGTGAACAGGGGGGGGGGACACAATTCAGAGCGATCAACGCTGGGGAGGGGGTGTGGGTGTGGGCGTGGGGGCCTTCTCTTGAGAATGGCTAGTCAGTGATGTAAAAGTTGCTAAGGCATGTGCTCATATATATGTATTATGCGAATGTACTCCTAGTACTATTGGGAGATCGACGGTATCGCTTGGCTGCATAAGGTGAATGCAAAGTGGTGGTGATAGGATGGTCATAAAACAAACTGGGGCGAATGCGTGAGCGTGCACGTGCGCGCGTTTCCCCCCAGGGGTCACATGAAGTATAAAAGTAGATGAAGCGCAAGAACACTCACAAGTACATGCTACAATTTTTTTTTTTCTTTTCCTTTTCTTTGCTCCTATATTACTTTAATATAAGTTCAAAAAAAAAAGAAGCCAAACATACACTAGCCATTTGCAAGTACTCGAAAGGTATTAACACGAAGGCGAGCATGTGGTTTATTATGCGCCGGGAGGATATTTATGTATAATACCTGCAGGCGTATTATATATATAGGGGGAAGTGTCCGCGTCAGCAGTCCATTCGAGGGGTATAATATAACATACGTCTGTGCGCAGAAATGTATTCTTTTGTGCGCCTGTACAAAGTTATATTATTCACGCTTTTGTTACTTGTATTCGGCACAGCATCTGTAACACGTTTTGCTTTTCACATATTGTCGTAAGGAGCATTCAGGCGAGTCGTACAGGTGAAGCCGTGGAAAATGTTCGAAAAAATATATACATATATATATATATATATACATATACATACATACATATAGCGAAGTGAAAGAAGTAAAATAAGAAAAAAAAGAAACGGAAGCAAAAAAAAAAAAATATATATATATATATATATAAATAAAAATAACATTAGAGAGGCGTCGGGGGCGGGGGGACAAACGAGCGATCGATATAATAATATGCTTGTACTGCGCTACGCTGTAGTACCTTATGGATTGTACTTAACCCACGCAGCAATTTAAAAACGCAAGAAAAGCTAAATTTGTACCAAAAACAGGAACAATAAGAATAAGAATAGGGGAAAAAAAAAAAAAAAAAAAAAAAGCAGTCCATATGAACTTATATGTATACTTATATTGCATCGTTTTTACCTGTACACGTGCAGGTGAAAAATTTACGCCGGGCAAGTTTACATAATGCAAGAGAATGGTTGCTCCTGGGAAAAGCGCCATTCACATGACCGTATACGTATGAAGGCGTACATAATGAGTGGCCTACGCATTTGCACAAGCACTATATACGTATGTACTCTACCTACGCACTTGTAGCGACTTATGGAGGATGCAAAAGAGGTAGTTTGTGGTTGAACAGGTGTTTTTGCCCCTGGGGGGAATATATCATCAGACGGGTTGTGAAATAAAGGCATTCGCCACGCAAATGTGCGCCTGTTGCTATACAAAAAAAAAATATATATAAATATATATGTACAGACATGTGCCCAGTGGAGGTGCCGTGTACAGTGCCTGCCTACCCCCTCCACCTCCCATCATCGTGCACGTGTTGATGTATGTACACAGATTGGCAGCCAAATGGTAAATGAGGCCTGGAACGAACGCTACGCCGCACTATCAGCACAAATGCGACACATTAGGCTGCAAAGGACACCTCACTGGGGGGACCTAGCCTACACCTAGCATATACCTTTGGTGCATGTCCGCTTCGGCTATAATAATTCGATTACAGATAATTCTCCTCCACACCGCCGCTGTAAGGGGGGACCGAAAAATGTAACCTTTCCATGCGTTTTCCTCATTACGACATGCTACGCATTTGCTGCAACTAACCCGTTCGCTCTTACCGCTGTGTTAACTCCGATGTCCCTATTGGCGCGTCCACGTGTTGTTACGACCAGAACAGCGGCAAGTAGGTCGTTCCGCGGAAATGAACTCCCCAATTGCGTGGCTTCTAATTGAGGGGTTGAAAGAACAGACCAACATATGCCCCCAAGAAAGACGTTACCAGGTGCACACTCTCCATTATGTCTGAAATGATTGCCCATTTTGACGTTCCATCGTCTGTTAACACACGCTGTAATAAAAAATAGGACAAACGAGAAACCTTTTTTTGTGGCTTCCATTCCGGGAAGTAACAAAATGGTCCGTATAGGTGTCGTCTCATTTTATTAAAAAAAAAAATTGAAGCTTTGGAAATGCTTATTCAAAAATTAAAGTTTTCCAAAAAAAAAAAAAAAA